GCTGGGTTCCCTAAATTTGGCCACTTTTAAGATATGTGGACTTCAACTCCCAGAACCCGCCAGCCAGCCATGTTTTGCTCTGGTGCTGGGTCCTCTAAATTTGGCCACTTTTAAGATATGTGGACTTCAACCCCCATAATCCCCGGGCCAGCCATGTTTTGCTCTGGTGCTGGGTTCTCTAAATTTGGCCACTTTTTAAAGACTTGTGGACTTCAACTCCCAGAATTTTCCAGCCAGCTATCATCTTTAAATGCTGGCTGGAGAATTCTGGGAGTTGGAAGTCTGCACATCTTAAAAGTTGCCAAGTTTGGAGACCTCTGCAATAAGAGGAAGAAAACGCACTTTTTTCGCTGAAAAGTTTTAATTGTTAATTTAATTCCTTTATTGCACATTTGGGGTTTTCTTTCATTTCAATGGTCTTGGACATTTGCTGGAATCAAAAGTGGCCGCAGAAGGAATACGTTTCCTGCCCGTTCAACCCTTCTACAGCTTAATTCAAGATCAACGATAAATATTTTGAGCCGTATTGCCTGGAGCAAAGGGGTACCTGTATTTATCTTGCACTTTCTGCTTTATATCCTGCAGTGAATCTTGAGATATATCTCGTTCCAGATACCCAGAAAGGACCTCGGTAGCATTTTCCAAATCAGCTTGATTATTCTAAAAATGCAAAACACTCTGATATAACTTCAAGTAACATTTTTAAGTAACCCCCTTAAAAACACAAAAAACATCAGAATAGCAATTTCTTTTTAAAAAATCTTAGTATAGTTTAGTATTTTTATTAGCAGGCAGGAATTAGATCAGTTTTGGAACCTCTTCAAAGCTTAAGGTATTTCTCTCCTATGGACTTTCTTTAGAAAAATCAGGAAACATCTGCCTTCCTAAATCACCAATTGATTGAGATACTTGGGACTCTGATGAACTAAAAACAGAACTATGTTAACATTCTGATGAACTAAACACAGAACCATGTTAACACAATCTTCTTCTTCTTCTAATCACCCCATAATCCCTTGCGGGGTGGAGTATGAATGGAGCTAGCAGAGCGTTTAATGGCTGGGTGCCCTTCCTGTCACCAATGCGGAGTTCCGGCAGATACAGTTTCATTGTATCCAGAAAGAGAAATATCTGCCTCTACCTAGGATCGAACTCACAGCCTCCGGATTGTGAGACAAGAGCTCTACCTCTAGGCCACCGCATCACTCAACTATGTTAACACAGTGTGGAAAATAAAAGGTTGGTTATTTGAGGAACCACCTACTTTCTTTCTGTCTAGTAAAATCAGGCACCCTGAGAGTCTGTTTGACTAGACAATATTAACATCAGGACTAACAATATTAATATCAGGACTAGGCCAGCTCTGTCCAGGTGCCTTTTATGTAGAAGAAACGCCCTCTCCCCCAGGAATCCAATTGGTACTCCCACCCCTGATGACATTCAGAAAGTTTGGTCTATTTAAAGAAAGTCCTTGACTTATAACCAGTGCCATTGTAACTTCAAATTTCTAGGCTCTATCACACTACAAGACCTAAAATGGATACCTAACATCAAAAACACCCTCAAAAAAGCACAACAAAGAATGTTCTTTCTGCGCCAACTCAGAAAGCTCAAACTGCCCAAGGAGCTGCTGATCCAGTTCGACAGAGGAATTATTGAGTCTTATCATCTGCACCTCTATAACGGTCTGGTTTGGTTCTGCAACCCAACAGGACACAGACTTCAGAGGATAATTAGGACTGCAGAAAAAACAATGGCTACCAACCTGCCTTCCATGGAGGACCTGTATACTGCACAAGTCAAAAAGAGGGCTGTGAAAATATCCCCTCACATCCCGGACATAAACTGCTTCAACTCCTACCCTCAAAACGACACTATAGAGACCTGCACACCAGAATAACTAGACACAAGAACAGTTTTTCCCCGAAAGCCATCACTCTGCTAAACAAATAATTCCCTCAACACTGTTCAACTATTTACTAAGTCTGATTACTATTACCATTAATCTTCTCATCACTCCTTATCAGTTATCTTCTCTCACTTGTAACTGTATGATTGTAACTTTGTCACTTGTATCCTTACGATTTATATGGACTGTTTGCTAGTATGATTTGATTGCTTATTGTACCCTATGACTATCAGTAAGTGTTACACCTGATGATTCTTGACTCTTCACGAATGTATCTTTTCTTTTATGTGCACTGAGAGCATTTGCACCAAGACAAATTCCTTGTGTCCAATCACACCTAGCCAATGAAGAATTCTATCCTATCCTATCCTTTCTATCCTAATTCTATTCTATTCTATTTTTTTCTGTTCTGTTCTAATTCTATTCTATTCTATCCTAATTCTATTCTATTCTATTCTATTCTATTCTATTCTATTCTATTCTAT